ATAACTAGAGTCACATAACGATCGACATCACTAGAGTCACCTACAATTCATTCATCATATTGTTGCTCTTCTGAATGTACTTTGTATAGCTTGCTATGAAAAATAAATTCAAAAAAAAAAAAAAATGTTGCTCTTAACTGTTTTCATATCTTAATATAATACCTTAAGATTTGAGAATATTTTTGGTTTATTGCATCTTCAATTATAAATGTATAATAGTTGTTTGATTCTGAAATTACTCATTATAGTAGAATGTTTTCATTATCTGCTTCCATAATTCATTTGTATGAAAAGCAATTTGAGTAAATTGGTCACCGATATCATGTCTACTAAATTTGCCCCGGTCAGGAATGTTAGTTGAACAATAACGTAATTACATATATCTCGAGCAGTAACCACGCAGGTACGCAGGCTGAAGGATATGAGTGCACGCACATGCGCGTATAGAAAAAAACTTAAAAAAAATCGGAACAAACCGAATTCTCACGTGTGATCTCATATGTAATTACATGTATAAAATATGTATTATTAATATTTACAAACTGAACACTTTATATTATTTTTTGCATTTATCTTTGGATAAGTAGTGTAAATGCAAAGCGCGGAGAACATGATGCAATATCATATCAGTTATAACTTTTCAGTAGAATAATTTCAGTCTGTTTTGACTATTATTCAATAGTGAGATTTAAAATTTTTGTCCGCGAGTAAAAAGGTAAAAGTAAAAAAACACCGATATCTCAAAAACAAGTAAAGCTAAGAATTTTTTAACAACAATATTTGAAAGCAGAGGGAAAAAGTTGCATAACCTTGATTCTTACGGCATCGCTATCAGGAGATAAATGGCAATATTTGAAAATCCATAACAAAAGTATTTTCTTTTGCTGTTAGCTGATTTGATCATGAGTACCGTTGTTTAGTTTACGAGGCCATAATATATTTTTAAGTATAAGTTATTTAATTGTTTTATAAAATTTATTGTCAATTTTAGGTTAGATTCGACTGTTTTTTATATAACTTCTATAAAACCTTAGTCGTGGGTGGGGTAAAAAGGATCAATTGAACTTTTATCCTGAGAAAGGTGTGAAGCATAATAATAGTAAATAAAAATGTAAATTAAGTTAAAAAAACAATTTTGCAAGAGATAAATTAAATATATAGTTATTCCACCTCTGCTGATGAATATTTCTGACGAAATACCAGATTAGGGTTATATACAGTATTATCTCTGGGTGATTATTATCTAAAAAAGGGTCCATGAAACTTATATTTATTCGTTATATTAATTATATATTATTCGTCGAATAATGCTAAAGCTATTATTTCGTAAAATCACTTTAAAATTGAAAATAAGACAATGGACTTGTATGCCACCTGACCATGTCATTTCACACCGTTTATGGTGCGAAAATGACCAGGTGCCAAATTTTTGAAAATCAGCCCAAAAAACACATTTCTACAATGAGAAAATTACCTGAGAAATTTATTGAACATGGTCAGACAGTTGTTTGTTTGATATGTGTTATTTGTTGTAATATAATTGGGTTGGTTTTTACAATGTAATTGCTCAAAGTCGTATTGGACCTTTGTGTTCCCTACCCTATTTATGTAAAGTAAAAAAATCAAAAAATATTTTTTAAAGATTTGAATTTGAACCAAATTTCTATTGATTTATGTAATTAATTTCAATACGTTTTAGTCTATTTTATTTAAAAAATTCATATTATTCTAAGAAATCTGGACTGATCGTAAGTATTTTGCGGTTATATGGGGTGTCTCGGAGTATATCGATTATCTGACGATTGATTCGTGACGTTTTTTGTCGGACGTGCTCCGTTGGCTTAATTCGATAATAATGATAGATCTTGGCATAAATTTGGGTTTTGCATATCCTATCTGCGGCAACAAGAAGCCGAACGAATGCTCCTGTTCTCATGTCGCTAATGATAGGCTTGCGTATTATAGATAAGGTTATAGATCGATACAATTTACATATATGTATAGATATATACATATAAATATATCTGAGATTAGAATATCTGCATTCGTATGATAATACAAATTTTATAATATTGAAAAATTATTTTGATGTTGTGTGCTTGATTACGTTTTGTTATTCGTCTTAGAAACATACTGATTGTTAAATTTAGTAAGATAATTTGTCAACAAAAAAACTATAGTACACATAAGCACGGAGTCGTTATGGTTTCTGCAAGAAGTTTGCTATATCATCACTCATTATCCAATAATATTTTTTGTCAAACAGTAGTGGAACACTAAATTCTGTTGTAACATGGTATACAATAAGTTATAAAGTATCTAGATATTTGAATTTTGAGACCATATTTTTTCTCTCTTTCAGTAATTTTCGTTATATATTTAGTAATGGTCACAAAGACATTGAGCAGACAAAAAGACTTTAGGCTAGCTTTGGGATAATATAATTAATTTAACAGAATGTTTAACATTTTTGAAATGATTTTTGTAAATTTTATTATTGTTTTTTGTTGTGCGATATAGTCGATTAATTCACTTATCTGTAGTTGCAAGAAAAATGATGAAAACAGTATTTCCTCGTATTTATTAACAATCTTCAACAAAAGCTTTTTTCATTAAAAAATAAGCAATTCATTTTGTATTCAAATATAAAATATACATGACTTAATTTTTTTTAATGCAAATAATAAAACTGTCTCAAAAATACCTTTAATTCTGTAATACTATCAGCCTAAGTTTTAGATCCTTTTTAGACGCTTAGACTTTAGACGCTTAGACTTTTTTTGATTAGACTGCTTTAGACTGCTTGATATCAGGATTTGAACTTGCAACATTGTTGTAGCAGGGCTCTGAACTCTCCGCATATCACTTTTATTATGTGTTATTTCTATCTACAGTGATGTTTGTATATCTTGTATTTATTACCTCTGTTTTAAAATAGTTTTCTTTATCAAGATCAGATATTTCACTTGAATTTTTAACCAACTCCAGTTAAAATATTTATTTAATTCTTTTTATATTATTTTATCCATATGTATATCAAAAGACCTGTGCTGCGACGCATATTATTGTATCTGATTGTTTCTGGATACGTAGAGGATCATTTACAAATTCCTGTGTCATTCACGCTCTGCCATTAATAACAAATATTTCGTATCGCGAACTCTACCAGAATCCATTCAAAACTTCGATATTCAAACGACATAGGGGTATCATCTAGTGGCAGCTGTCGGCAACCTAAGTTATTACCGTATGACTGCTAAAAGTGGCCATCAAGAGCAGTACTCATTGTCAGTGGATGGGTAGATTAGAATATGATATATTCATAATGAGTGGATGTATCACATAACCGTGACGAGTTTTCATATTTATGCAGCTAGGATCAAAATGTTGAAAAGAAATTCTTAAAGTTGCCATCTACAAATTTACGCTTCTTGTCACATTCCTTAGCCATCTGATCTGCCACATTTTCACCAAACTATGTACTAATACAAAATCTAATAGTTACCGGTACACTTTTGCTGCTTTCTCCTATTTCTATTGGCACAAGCATTTTTCGGTTATTTTTAAACACTGTGAGTGTAATTAAATGAAATTTTTGAATGTATTTATCAGTTTCAAAACAACGAACTATTCAATTGAAAAATTGAACAATCTCTCCTCTTGTCATTTCTCAAATAGGGAAACCCATTTATTATATATTTACTATTGACTTCACATACCATCCAGAACTTTATTCTAAATTTATCTGGTTCATTTGGTATATTTTGTATAAATCTGCACCTACATTTCGATGGAAACAACTCTCCAAATTGCATTATTTTCCACCGGTCAAATTGACCAACCGCCGTAGTTAGGGCAATAAAATATTATTAGTATATTCTAAGTATTGTCATATAGTGAAATAACGGTATTTTCACGTTTGGTCAATTTGACCGGTCTTGGTAGATTTAGTGTTAATTCTCCGACCTCCCACTTCACTTGATTGCCAATCCCTGGTATATATCTCACGCACACGTGAGTGTATTTTGTACTGAACCCTTTAGAGAGATATGTTATAGATTTGATAGCCGTGTTTATTGAAATTCGAAACCTTGCTGAACCATTTGTCAAGAGCGAACAGGCGTCGTTATGCGAATGTATCTGATTTCTCAGATAGCGATAAATGAACTAAAATGAAAATAAAAGATTGTTACAGGCTTATGTTACATGTGATTCGAGTATAGAATTAAAGATTTAATGATTAAAATTATATTTAATTAATTTGATTGTTTTACGACGAATTAAAAATTATCAGCAGAAATGACGCATTAAACGATAAAGTAATGAGTCAACCGATATCATAATTCTTAAGAATAATAATATATCATTTTAATCTGGTGGACAAATATATCCAACATGCGGAATTACATCGGCAACTGTACGATGTTTGTATTATCTGGTTGTAATTCTAATGTTATGTCGATTAATTTGCTATACGATATTACTCAACTTCTTACTTCTTAATTAAATTTCTCAAATATTTAAGTTTCATCTTTGCTATGAGAAGTGTTTATGATGCAAAAGATGATTAGGCAATAAGAACATCTTATCCTTCTCTTTCATTAGTCACGACTTTGCAAATAATTTTGATGAAGTTTACAAAAGTTTTTATATAACGAATTTGAAGAAATGTCTGGAATTCACGAAAATCATTTTCTATGTTAGACTTGAATACAGTATTTTTATCAATCCGTGTTTTTGGCCTAATGATGATAATATAGTATGGCTGACTTTTCTATTATTTCATGATTCTTAAAAACTTTTTTGCTTTTCTTGCATGTTTCATCGATAACCTGCAGCCGCTTCTCAATTTGTACCTTTATACACATTTTTTCACAACGCACATGTATACTAGAATATGATATATACTTGTGTTATATATACGTATGTTATGCAATATTACATATTTTTATATGTTATCTAGTATTACACATTCTTATATAATTTTATTTTTATTCTAGGACGACAGCACAGGACAATCTTTGTTGGATGCTGTTTTTGAACGTCTAAATTTGTTGGAAACTGCATACTTTGGCTTACGTTACCTGGATGAAGATGAACAAACGGTAATTTCTCGTAATATGTTTAAAAATTATTCAAATGAAAATTCTGCATGTATATTGAGAAGCTTTAGTAATGAATATTATGTTATTTTAAATATCTCAAAAGTAGAGCGGAAAACCTTATCATGTTGCTATTGGAACTCAAGGCAATAAATATACTCAATCCTTATATGCGTTATAAATCCCATTCATAAATGCATCGTATTGAAATCAATAGTTTGTAATATGATAATCTTGTTACGTTACAAATATTTGCTATACGGTCGATAGTCACTCTAATAAAAAGAAATGAATTTAAACAATCTGTACATGGGCTGCTTAGTATATTATCTTAATAAAGATTTGTTTTTTATTTTTACGATCGAGTTATTGATGTATCGTTATGGTATTCATAAATTGTTTCAAAACTTATAAGAATGAGTTATTAAATTTGCATAAAATTATTCCAACGTCCATTCTGCTGAAAGTACAACAGTTCATTACGTGATCTTAAGTAGCCGTTCATTAAATTTGCTGGAAGTTGCTGGACTCTCAATTAAAAATAACCATACACGTAGGATGTGATTGTCTTGCAAAAAAGATTTCCGCAACGCAATCACATCTCAAAAAATGCGACAGTTTTACAAGAGAAAGTATATGTAGTAATATTGAATTATATGGAAATACAAGTATATAAGCCCCTCATTAATTATTTATTAGACTGAAATAAAATAATTTTATTAACCACAAACTAAGATATAAATGGTATTTATTGCTTATTCTTGCCATGACATTTATTGTTTAAGTAATTATTACTTGAAACATTCTTGGAACTTTTTACTTGAAGATGTGAGTTATAAGTATGAATAGAATATCTCTTCATTTCAAACAATTATTTTTCGTCCCTTACATTAAGACAATCTGAAATACTTGTCTAATCCTTTGATAGATATGAGATATGAAATAAATCATTTCCTTTGCTACTAATCACTTATTTTGTTACTATATTACAATTATTCATATATTTTATGAAGCACGTATAAATTTTAATATATGCCAACAGGCAATTGAACGAAACGAACATTTACACTTTTTCATATTTATTTTTAAAATTTTGTTTGCAAATTATATCATTTCCACTTTTTATAAGTGATGCAGAACTATCTCTTATAAAAAGCTTACTTTCAAATTTCCCGTATCATTTCTTTAAATGTCTAATTCAATTTAACGTCTTTTTAGAGTACATAGTAGTAAATATTACGGTAATAAGTTAATATATCAAATATTTCTGACTTACTGTAAGTTATAATTTAATTTAATTATCGGGAAAATTATGCAAATTTTCAACTACTATGTAGATAGCATTTTGCGCAAGAATTTACATGCTTTTCTTACTTTGTTTTGTGTTCATAAACAATATGTTCTTAGTTTTTGTAAAACAGTGTTTTGAGATTTGATTTAATATTGTAGAACTTCTTTTCATACATTTGCACGTTTTTTTATAATATTAGAATAATTTATACAATATTTTGAAAATGATTTTAAAGCGGTTGCTTGAGTTAATGTCTGCTTTTGTAGTTTTTATAGTTTAATCAATATGAGGTTGAAACTTATTTTAAAATTAACATTTCTCATTATATTAATTATTACAGCATTGGCTTGATCCTGCGAAGAAATTATCAAAACAATTGCGCAATACTTTGGATCAGTTTGTTTTCTATTTCGGAGTGAAGTTTTATGCTGCGGACCCCTGCAAACTCTTAGAAGAAATTACAAGGTAAATAACATATAGTATAGAGTATAGTTATATACTTCAATTAATTTTTATATTTAATGATATTCAATTTGCAACATATCTTATTGTATGTAAATACACAGCTTTGTAGGGCATGTTATTAAAATCGCAAAACAGTTCATAAAAAAAATTATTGAAATTAAACGGCTAAACCGATTAGAATGGTTAGAAAAACAGTTTTTTTGAGAAAGGCAGATCCAGGCGATTTTAGTATACAGAGTAAAACATACTAAAAAATGCTTTAGCATTGAAAATTACACATCAAATTGTTTATGGGTCGTGTTCTAATATTCGAGCATTTTTTCTGAAAGGATTGGTTTTAAAGTAACTATTTAAATATCCTTGTAGAACTATCGAATATTATTGTAAAAATTGAAACGCAAGTTTTTTTTAATTTAGGATTCTGTTGGTGGTCAGAAAAGAGTATTTTACATAGATGCGCATCGTACTATGGGCAATTCCAGTAATTTGGAAAGGTTGAAATTTTATAGAGCGTTTGGTTGTGAAAATATTACAAAATAGTTTAAAGTTTTTTAATATTAATTGATAATTTTGTTTCATTAGTAGATTTTTTGTTAGCATTAAATTAAAATTTATGTGACAAGACATAAAGATAAAATTTATATGGATAATGCTATAAAATAATTTAGTTTACAAGTGACCTATAGAGTACAAATTAGATAAGTAGTGTGCGCTAAGATTACATAGAATTTTGAACATTTCATTTAACATTAACGTTCCTTATTACTGTTACGTATCGTAGAACGAAGTTTCTATTTTGTTTTTTTTTTGGAAAATTTTTAAATGCGTTATTTGTATTCAGCACAATCGACTTCAATAGTTTATACCAAACATAGTGTACACAATCTATATTAAGGAAAACATGGCATGATAATTGCAAGACGCTTCAAAAATTTCCACGCATTTGTTATTACTAAAGCAGTGGTTCGATTCATTAAATCTAAATAATACTTGATAACCGGACGTCGATTCAGTTCGATTATAAATTCGATTCAAAAGTTATCGATAGTTAACAATAGGCGTCGAAACAACATCCGCGTATCTTGTAACTTGTTTGTTTTTACCTTCTTATTGGTTTCCTTCGAGCCGGCGATGTTATCACGAGAGCGAGGTGTTTCGATATGTTTTACGAGGTCCCAAATCGAATCATTCGTTCTGGGTGGCGGACTTTATTTATTGTCAAACTTCTCTCTCTGTCGGCAAATTTCAACTTTTAATCGCACGGTCTCGCCGTTTTAGCGTTGTTTACGCGTTCTTTTATGCGTTTTTAGCTTTAGCACTCAAATGGCCTAAACGGTAACCCGGCCGTTTGTCTCACCGTCTGAATGTCCGTCCGTCTATCGGCCACAGCTATATTACTTCTAAAATAATACATAAAGCTTTTTATACTGATATTTCATTATAATGTAGCTAAAACTGCTAAAAACAATCGCTATGTTCACATGAAACGTTTATAAAACGATAATAATTCCTGTCTGGTCCTACGGAATAGAGCTTTGGGGCTGGAATAGCAAATATAATGTGGCATAGTTACAGAATCAAAACTACTTAGAATGATGATAGGTTCGAGCAATAAAACTCTGCATGATGATCTGAATGTGCTATATATTAAAACCTTTATAAAAACAAGATCCACTAATCATCATTACAAATTAGAAAATCACACCAATTCACTTCGCTGCTCCTTACACCAGAATTATTGCCCATATATTATAAAATGAAATAATAGCATATTCTCGAGAATTTGTGAATGCATTAATGCAGAGTTTATAATACTTTTTTATCTTCAGATATTATTTTTCATGATACTTATTATGATTATAATAGAAGCAGTATATGCTATTACAGCAGGCTTTGTCCATTGATTTTCATTATTTACCGAATAAACAATAAATTCTATTTTCTTAAAAACTCAATTCATCATAATATTTTTTTTTATTTTGAGCAGCAATCAAATCTTATGAGTCCTATAAAATGATTTGAATAAATACTAATCGGTTCTACAGATCTACCCAAACAGTTGTCCCATCTCTGTGTGATGAATTATTATTACAATTTCTGTAATTCAGCGAATATTTATTGATGCAGCAATGGCGGATCATTGCTATTTTCACTTGGAACCTATTGCTATCTATATTTCCACGTAAAAACTTTTGTTACGGGTAGGATCGAACCCAGGACCTCTGATGCAGGTTCAGGTGCTCTAGCCACTTACACTTGGAGTAGCAAATCAAACATTTTTTCAACAACATTTTTTAGGTCTCAGAATAATTTTACTTCCTTATTCATATTATATTTCATTATTTAGAAACATTTTATTTATACAATACTTATATACTTCATAAAACATCAAATATTATTTTTATTATGCAATTTCATTTTTCTTCTTTGAATTATTCAATAAGAAATGAATGCGGCGGGAAGAAAGTACGATAAATGTAAAAGAAATGTTAAATATTAGTCGCACTTACAATAAATAAATACTAAACATGACGGATATTATGTGAATCACTAACATGCGATTGTTTATATGTTTGATTAAAAAGTTTTAATATTTGTTATTGTTTTATTTATGCGTGTAAAACAACTAGGTACTTGTCTACTTTCCTCGAATGCATTCCTAATACCATCGCGTGAATCCTCGATACATATTATTGGCATTTTTATTGTTTCATGCTGAGCAAATGAATATTTATAAACTTGGAATTAATTATAATTTATGAAAAAAACACTTAGAAAAATATTGTTTTTTACTTTCATTTTTTATGCTAAATACTTATATGTGCAAAAATGAATAAAATTTATTATAAATTTCTTTCTTGCGTGAATGACGCCTACATCGATATAAAGTTGAAATTATGAATTAACAGGCGAAAGAGCATGAAATCATCTTTTGAACCCAAGTAGGTGTATATGAACTTTATATGCATATATGCATTATTCATTCGTTTTAATAACTTTTACATGTCCGTAAAAAGCAACATATAGAACTCGATATAAAATACTGTTTATGATAGGGACTTAAATATAATGTTAATAAGTATAGTGAAATCGCATCTGATGTGAATTTTATTTAAAATATAAAATTATACGAGTATATGTACCGCAACTTTGCTTAAATTGAATGTATTCGTTGTTGTTTTGTGAATTCTAATGACGATATTCTAGAATATGTATAACATTTAGTACCAGTGGAAGCTTTTAGAATGCTTGAAATGACATAAAATAATTTTAAAAACCAATAATATTTTTTTTATTTTATTATATATTTAATGGATATTAAATAATTGATATCGGAAAACAGTTATCTATGTCATTAACGCAAACTTTCTAAAAGCAAAAAATAGTAGGGGAGACTGGGTACGGTTGTGCCACATTCTTTTATCAGCAATAATTTTGTTAAATTATCAGTTAGCTGGAAGAAAAGTAAATTAAATGGTAATTTGAACTCTCATCTGGAAACTACTCACGTGGAACTACTGATAGGTTAGTATAACCTCTTGTTAATGTCGGAAGAAATCCAATGCAGGTCAATTATTTATTATCGTAGCAACAATATATCTTCTAACTGCAAAACAGTGTTCCCATACTTAAATTTTACGTTAATTGTCCATATCGTGAGAATAATTGTCTGGTCATACATAGTCTAAATGACATAATAACCAGCCAGATTAGTTTTTATAGATCGGGCCATTACGAGCATCCGTTTTCAGTCGGATACAGTAGAACTGAAGTGAAATAACCACTTTGGCTTCTTTGTTATTATTTTGTGTACGTTTATATTATATTCGGTCATAAAAAATAATAAGAATATTATTGTTTCATGTCGTGACCAACATGGCAGGCGTCTATACAATGGTGCGTGCGTGTCTTCCAGAAATCGTAAAGACAGGATTACATTGTAGGACAAAATTACTTCGAGCAGAATAATACATTCAACTGACTTATTTATTAAATGAGATATTACATTTAAATTAAATGATGTCGTTGAGTGTCGTTTTTATCCTTAGAATGTGTGTCAATGGTAGTCAATCTGACGCCAATCTTAATGAGTACTTTTGCCTCTGTGCTGCATGACATAAATTATCGTGCCATGTTTTTCTTTTTACAATGAAATTTTGCAAAGTAATTAAATTAACAATGAAATAAGAAATGATTGAATTAATTCTTGATATTATATTTTGTTATAATATAGGGTAGAGGAGTAACTTAAAGGTTCGTGAGTAAAAAGGTTCACCATCAAGATCTCAAAAGCAAGTGAAGTTACCAATTTTTTAACATCCAAATTTTAAAGTAGAGGGAAAAGGATGTGTAATTAGCCATTGCCATATATCAAGCAATGGCCCTATCATGATATAAACGACTAGGTTTTAAAATTAATAACATAAGTATTTTTTGTCGACCTTAGTTTTTTTGGTTGTGAGCCATATTGTTTTGTTTATAAGAGCTTGTAGTACGGTTAAGTGTGAAAAATGTTTTGATAAATCTCAAAATTATAATTATTTTAAGTACAATACTCTTTGCAAACAATTTTTGCGGCAATTTGATTAATTACATATTCACTAACACTTTAACAGTTGTGCCTTTTTCAATTTTATAATATCTAAAATATACAAAAAATCTATCGCAGAAAAGGATAAAGTCAAATGGTGAATAGCCAACCGAAATGATCTTTCATCATTTGTTCATTTGTACTCACCTTATCAATATATAGATATTAAAAAAAATTATACATATTAAATTTGAATTATTATAGATTAAATCCAACAACTATTACATACTACTAGATAACTATTCCATATTACTAGTAATATTAGTAACAGCTACTACTGTAGCGTGATCAGGCGAAGACTCTACAATTACTATTACAAAGCTTATATTCAATTTTTCTAAAATTAATCTATTAATGATAAAAATCTGGAATGTTAACTGAAATCAACAATATCAGTTTATTTTACAGA